AAGTATGTAGTGAAGTTCCCCTTAACGTCGTAAATATTAAATAGTACATCGTGCACCTCAGCTTTTTCCAAGATATTTGCACTTTTACACCTTTATACTATTGTACAAAAAGATAATGCGTAGAAGGGATAAATCTCAGATGAAAGGCTTAGAAATGCTCTTCTCAATCCGTAATCGCGTAAAGACGTTGGATGCTAAGGATGCCTTTGATTAAATAATCTTTCTTTGCTGTCGAAATCATCAAGATATGCTGAACGGGATGTTTTATGTTTAACTTGGACTTCACAATTCGGAATGCTGAAAACGCAAATCAGGAAAAAAAAACAATTGCAGAACTGGCTTTTTTCCAAGCTTTTCTCTGCTATTTGAGAAAAAAAAAACACTTTTTTGTCCAGTTCATTGCACAATGTCTACTTTGTAGGCCGTGCTCGACTTCATTCTTACCGGTCGTCATTTCTCACATGCAGTCAATATAGTTGGCTCGGAACGTCCGACTGAACGGGATGACTGCAGGTTGATGTAGAACATTGAGATCACAGCTAATGATCAGCCTAATTAGGGTCCTCGATAATTTTAGAAGATTTATAAGAAATTTTGTGCTTTTTTCTTATTTACTCTTTGTGGCATTATCTTCACACACCAACATTTGCTAAGGATGATTATATGTGCTAGTTTTCTAATTCTAGTCCAATGTCTTTCAACAAGTGGGATGTTGCAGATGTTTTTCTTGTACTTGTACTGTAGCTTCGTAGTACTGTAGAAATAAGTTTTCTTAAAAGTACAGCTTCTGCTGAGTTTTCAAGTTTAGGTCTAGTCTTTGAGATGTAGCTGGTGGTCAAAGTAGCATAAAGATTAGCGTTAGAAGAATATAGACTCTTTACTGTTCGAATCTTTAAGATCCGAAAATTTGTGTTAGTTTAGCTTTTTAAAATCACAATAACTTAAGATTGGGCCTTTGTAGCAGAATTTTTGCATTTGATTGCAGTTATCTTTTCATTGCTAAAATGCGAATTGATTTTTGAAATGTTTTCCATAATTTTTCATCTCAAACGCAGACACTTTGCTGTAACGCATTTCTTTATGTTCCTCCTGTCATGCTCATTGTTTTTTGGTTTGATAGGTTTAGACCATAACTAACAAATGTTGCCATTTTCATTACACTTCTTGCTCACTCATCATACTGCTCAATTTGTGATCAGTTCAGACTGTAAATAGTTGTAGTTATTGGTGCTGCCTAGTGTTTTGTAGCATTTGTCTAAATCAATTTGTGTAAATTGTCGTCGGGTTAATGATAAAATTTTATTAAATGAACTACAAGCCATACATTCTCGACATGGGAAAAAATGTACAACAAAAAATACACCTAAACACCCTATCTATTTTGTAGTAACACATTAGTAAGAGATCACACTACCCAATGGGTATATTTATGGCTGGCTAGTTGACTACCGTATACCGATACGGAGCTAAATCATTGGTAGAAATTGTTGAAGAGGTTGTAGTTGAGAGAGCAGAAGGGTTTGAGCGAGTAGAGTAGAGATTGGGGGCTCGGAAGTTGAAGAAGTAGACTTTGTCAAATTCATGGATGTGGTCTGTTGTGTGAGCAAATCGGAGAGAAGCCTGAAATAATGCAACTTTATAATAGAATCTCAGGATTAGATTTTCTCTTGCCTGGGGACGAGTTCACTCACTTTGCCTGCAACATTTGTTGGAGGTATTCCATGAGAAGTCCTGAATTTCCTGGTAGCATTGGTGATGAAGCTGTGGGAGGTAGTAGTGGAGGACTGGTGGGTAGCGATGGTGATGATGATCCAGACACAGAACCTGAGAGAGCGGACGAGACGATGTAGGCACGCGCGGACGACTCGTCCGTGTACGTGATTGTTGTGCCCTCTGAAATTATAATACTGACTGAAGTCTCACAGA